TATTAAAAGTTTGCGAATTTTTGTGCAAATTTATATTTTCGAAGATAAGAGAACCTCGATCAAATAATCGTTCTACTGAAAAATCGTTCTATTTCGAACTTTGGATATTTCAGGGCTCTGGATAAATTTAGGACTCTAAATTTTCCCTGCGAAGGCATAAAAATTTGTGATCTAATTATTAAACTTCCAACTACTCTGTCGAGGATATTTCAATCTAGCTATTTAAATATGATTCCTTACTTAGCTCTGAAGATATTTAAACATAACTTCCAAGCACTTTGAAGACCCTGAAGAGTTCCCGAATCTTTCGCTGAAACGATTTCAAAATGCTCGATAGTTCGTCACTATCGATGGTACAGTCGGATTTTTCAGCCGAAGAAAGGGTGAGACCATCCAAATAGAGTCGGTGGCGTTTCGCAAGCGGTTAAATAGAGAGGTGGCAATTTGCAGGTGCAAAGTTCACGCGACGCTCAGGGTAAACCGCTAATGAGGGTTCGAGTGGTACGTGCGCGCGACCTGTAGATTTTCTGGAGGGGGGGGGGGGGGGAGACAGGTTAATTAGCCCATTCACCTGTATTACAGCGTGTGTTTTTCGCGCGTATGTTTCATTCTGTTATTTCCGTTCTATCCTGATCATATAACCGACAGTTATTTGAGAGCTTTAGTTGTTGTCAAAATCCTTCCTTTCATTCATTCATATCTTCGTACAATTTTCAAATGTTTTTTTTTTTCTTTTTTCAAATGATATTAACCCTACATTATGCCTCTTTCAGTACCTGTTAATTAGTCTTAACGTTTCGAAAATATTAATAATCACAATTTTATATTTTATCTAACGCTTCGCGATCCTATGTAAATATGTTGAAGTATCTCTCCCAACGACCAAGCGTAGCATAAAAATAATCTTCGATTATAGAAACATGACACGTGTGTTTCTCTCGTTCAAAAGAAAAAAAAAAAAAAAAAAAAAAAAAAAAAAAATTGAAAAGAAAAACGAGAAAAATTTATAACAGTAAAAAACGTCACATTACCGGTTTATTTTATATTAATTACAATATTATGTTGCATAAAGTAATTACCAATGCGTGACAGCAATGATGAATGCATATCAGTTACGAAAGAGGCTATGCAACGATTGGAACTAACAATGAAAGCGATTAAATTGATAACAATTGGAAACAAATGATGGAAATTTTCACGCGTGTATTTGGATTTACGTTCTTGAGACCATTTTGAAAGAAGGGTTCCCTCTAGAGCCGTAAGGAACGATCTTCTTTGATCGTTGTGAGATTCGTAAGGGAGAGCCGATACACCACTACCGCTACCTTTCCTCTCGTCTCTCGTTTCTTTTTTCCCTGTCGGGTTTAGCATCCCTAGTGGCGCCTCTCTCAGGATATAAATTAATTAGATTTGTGTGGAGGTGTGTCAGCAAAGTGCCGGCACTGTGTTTCTTTCTCTTACGACTGTCTGCTCTCCGCCGCGTTTCAACTCGACCGAATGGCCTACTCTCCGCTATATCTACAGATGGTTTCATAACTTCTCCGATATATGTATATACACTTATTCCGCCGTATATATAAAATTCTAGCCGGTTTTCTTTAAATTAGTCACGCCGTTCCGACCGAATCCATTCCGAACATTTGAATTTCGTTTAGGTACGCGCGGTGAAAAGGGACGACTCCAGATGAAAAAAATAAGTCGAAGGGAAAGGATAAAATTTTGTCCGTTGAAAACGGATGGAAACCGCAGTTCCCGTGTTTGAAAATGTAGCAAACGTATCTTCTTCTATTGTTAATCTTCCATTAAACTTGCAACGATGTGTTCCGGATACATCGATGCCAAAGAGAGAAAAATTTGTGAAGCCTTGGAAACTTGTTAAATATCCTTGAATTTAAATAACTGTGGTCAGAAGTAAGTCAAAAGTGTAGAATAGAATTTTTCCATTTGGAGACTCGTTTTCAAGTGTAAATAGAGTTTGAACTTTGTTTAGTTAAAAATTAGCTTATCGTCTATTAATAGACGTGACATACTTGAAAGCAAATTTTGAAATATCCTCGAAAACGAAGCCTCGAATCTTCCTTCTCGAAGAATAAAACTTTTTCACATAAAATCGTCTCCTCTCGCGATCGCACCGTATCTTTCATATCGAGCTACAAATTATTAAAACGTAGAAAAAATGACAGTAGATTTACGTTCGCAAAACGTTCGCAGACACTGCAAGCACACACGATGATAACACTTGCAAATAACTTATATTTTACGACAGCACGTCGGAAGGCGAGTAGCCTTGCGCCATGTTTTTACGATGGGAATTTATTAAGAGCACGTGTAACACCTTTGAAGCGACATGTACGTCGACAGGTAGGTTCGAGCAGGACGCGTGATGTATGGTGGGCGTGAAACGGGTATAGCAACATAGTAACGTTTGCCATATCAGCGAACGGCTGACTAGCGGTTATCTAGACGAATTCGCACAATCGAATCACGACTCTAGAATTAACTTTGCCGATCCCACCAATATCGATTCTTCCCTCTGAAACCGTTAAATTTTGAGAGTTTTTGGTGGTTGAACGAGTGTTCAACGTTTTAACCCTCTGTGAGCGGAATTTCGTTCACTTTTGCAAGAGAAGAAAGATTAAACGTTACACTGTTGTACATGCTTGTCGTGTGTGAAATTTACGCTTTTTGCTTTTGGAACGGAATCTTTAATTTTTATAATCTTTGTAACATTTTTTTTTTATGACGAAAGTGCAATGAAATAATGTGCTTGCTCTCGAGCGCAAAATTCAGAAGCTATTAACGAATCATTTGGGTGCTTTTGTAATGTCGAAATGTAGTAAAATACAATAAACAATAAACGAATGAATTTCAAATGAATCTTCGCAATCCCCGTTTCATTCTTATATTGTCTATTGCTATCGTTATGTTCTACTGTTTTGGTGTCTACTGCCAGAGCGCGTTTTCATCGAGCTTGCCAATGAAATTTATCATTCGGTAACGCGAATTCTATTATTTTTTATTTTTCAAATAAATAAATTTCAATTGACATGTCGACTGCCACGCGAAAATTACACGTTCCGCCCAGAACGGGGCAGAGAATATTTAATTATCGTAAATTATTACGTTACGATAAAAACGCAATAAAAGCGTGTTTATGCGGTTTAAAATTGTTTTGTCAACAATACTCATCTTGCATCAGTCATTCTGAAATATTCATAGGAATATTATATCCCGGTAACCACGGTTGTTAATCGAAGGTAAAGAATGGAAGAAAATGCTAATGCAATCCGTTTGCACGGTATTGTCGTCGTTTGCATGTGTGCGTTTCCCTCTCGATAATTACCTATCATCAAGTGATTGAATAAACCCTTTACGCTGAACTTTAAATCGTCGCGACATTGTCTTTTCTTATTCGATTCCACACAGTCGACACGTGCACACGTGCAGGACGAATTACAATAAAACGAAGCGTGGATAAAAAAATTTCACTTGTTACGCATCGTTTGAACTAACGAGCGTGATTAAAATAGAAATAAGGAGAACACCGAAAAAAAAAGGGATGATCGATGTATTTTTTTCTCAAATAGATCTGCTTTGCAAAATACTTGTCGTACAATTATAAACGTGTTTTAACAATATTGCTACTGTGCACATAACTAAGACTAAAAATAGTATTGATAATAAGTTGCAATAATTCTTCAAGTACATCTCGCGTCTTATCAATCGTCAAAGTGAAAAGCCGTATTTGGCTACGATGTAGGTTTGTTAATAAACTCGTTCAAGTTACAAATTTAAACTCGTTTCAATGTATGGAAGAAATATGAGCTGTTAAATTATATATCACAGATGTTATTCGTAACAAATTCAATAAAATTGTAGAGATACTGTCGAGTAACAACTCGTTTATGATTTATCGTCATAAAGTGAACCGTTTGTAACAATTATTTAGCGCAGTGTATATTAATAAACTGCAGGTTTCAACTTATTCCAATTTATGCAAAAAGCGTTTGAATGTCGTGTCATAAATTTGATTTGAAAATTGACATCAAATATTGAGAAATGCCTAACAAATTGTGCTATATCTTGCGTTAGAATATGCGTTAAAATGAAAATAATAATAATTTGTAATTATAATAACTCACATATATTAATAATTTACAATTTATTCCAATTTATGCTGGAAATACCAACTTGAAGAGATCAATTATGTACGTATGTACATTCCCGTTCGTAAGCGTTAGGTTGTATAGATAATTGATCCAGATTAGATTTTTTACATCTACGCGAGTATATAAAAACGATCTAGAGACATAATAATAATATTTGCAGAAATTAACTTGCAATCTTTATGAGTGTTGAATAAACAATTATCTGTCACCTCTCGCAGTCTCCTAATCTACATCTCGTTGATAAAACAGAAATTGCGTTCGATAGAAAATTCTTAGAGCGTTTAAAATAGCTAAGCTCGATGAAATTTTGTGGAATCTAGTATAATAAATATATCACGGATTTTTGCATAGCATGCAATGTACTATATAATACGTAAAAATTCATAAAATATTCAAAGCGCAGTAGTAATTGAAATGCGAGTGTCTACAATGCAGTCTTGTATTTTAATGAATGCAATTAAAGAAATGAATTTCAAGTAAAAATTTGCGCTCCACTTTAAGCGATATGATTTTCATGTTTTTATCAATCACACGTCGTCAGTATATCGCGTATATTATTTCTTCTCTAACTAACTGATTTTGAATCTTTACATTCGAGCATTTTAACAGAAAAAAAAGTTTAACGTGAGTCTCGAGCTAGATGTTACCTGTTCCATTGTTTCTACAAAGTAAAAAAATTCCCTAACGGTATAAAAATACCTCTGGATCGAATGACTTAAATGCAAACATATTGTTCAACGATTTCGAATAACGAATAGGATCTTTAAATTCGTTTCATTCTTCCAATACTTATGAACGGGGTTGTACGTGAATGTCGAAGGAAAAACTCACGTTTATGTTGCCGAGGTGTGTCGGAGGGCTGATACCCCTGCGGCTTCCGCCGCCTCCGACCTCCGCGTCCAGCTTGCCGGCTCGGTCGGCCTCGTGGATCCAAAAAAACGACGACACGGCGACGATGCACAGTTTCCGGTGATCCTCGAACTACGTTTGCACCTCAGAGCGATGTGTTCATGCCGAGCCACTGTCCACACTGACCGATAAAAAGCACTGTGTCACAGACTCGATTCACTGGCCGATTAACGAGATACGGGAACATTCTTTTCACGCCACGCCACTAGTGTATCGCGCGGCTGCTTCAGTTCGACTGAGTGAGAAATTTTCCACGCGTTTGCCCTTCGCAACGACGACAAAGACGGCCGGCGATATCGAGCCGGACGAAGATTAACTGCGTGACTTCTGTTTCGGAGCGCGTTAATTCCGAAGGTCGTGTCGCGCTTTTCGCCGATCCGGTAAACACAACGAGCCACCGGCACGTATCTCTTTTCTTAGAATTCGCGCATCGATCGATCACAACACCGCGAATTGTTGTTCACAGAATTAGAGGAATGTGTAAGGTACAGTTCTGTAAGGTATTAAACGTAAGGTCACGTCGAGTCACTGCTCGTTCCACACGTACCAACATGATTCGAAATATCGACGATCGCTGTTTAGACAGCGTCGCGTAGGCGGTTCGAAGAGAGCGAGGGGTGAAATTGATTTCGTGGCGCGTGAATCGCGAGCGGATCGCGTTGAGCAACGGATCTCGTTTCGATCGGTGACATGCGCGCGGCTACGAACCTGTTCGTCCCTTCCTCGCCCTCTCGGCGGCAGGTATCAGCGCGTGCATACGTCCGGTAGCAATGGTGAGAAGCAAGCATTCACGGATATGATGAACAGTGACAACGATGACAACGATGACGATGACAACGACAACGACAACGACGACGACCACGACGACGACGACGACGACGACGAGTCGGCGTGGTGCGTGTCCGCCTTAAGGGCTGTCCGTCGCAGACGCATGCTCGCGGCACGTCGCAGCCTCTCGCACTGACCGCGCGTAACACGTAAGAGAGAGCTGCGTATTATGTACTTGTCTTTCTCTCTCTCTCTCTCTCTCTCTCTTTCTCTCCCTCTCCTCTTTAGACGATGCTGTGCGAACTTTGTCGGGCTCACAACTCCTTCCGATTCACGGTACACGGTCTCTTTCCTTCTCCACGTTGCTCGCTACGGTGGTTGCCGGTATTCTCGAAGGCGGCAAACAAACAGGAGAGACGACACCACCCGGTTCCTCGTCACACTCCCGACTCTGTTTGAATCTCTTGCGTACTAACTTCGCGGCTATCCGCGGTACTCCAACGGCGAACGTTGAACGCGAGCCTGGAATTGCCGTGGCGCCACCCCTCCCTCCCCTCCCCCACCCCACCCTCCTTATCCTTCTTCCAAGCCAGTCCACCTGATCGTCTTCGTTCGTGAATGCCACACCACACAGGGCTTCGCGTTGTGCCTCCTCTCTGCCTCGTCCCTCCCCTATTTTTCCCTATAATTTGCTCCGCGGCTGCCTCTTTTTGTTTCATTCCGTATTTCGTAACCCCCTTCGCCCTTCACTGGCCTTCGCGCGCCCTTCTTCGGCCACTGTCTCGCTTTTCTACCTTGTGAACGGGCTGTGTCCGTCCATCTCTCTGTCTCTCTCTCTCTCTCTCTCTCTCTCTCTCTCTCTCTCTCT